ACACACACACACACACACACACACACAGTATTGCATTAGAAGACGGATGGTTCACAAGTAGCCACATACACATTATTCTGGGCAGCATATAAAACAAGTCATCAATCCTAAGATAAGGAGGACACACAGGAGCTACACAACCGCTCCTGATGACACACATACAGTACATAAAAATCTCTGTTTCACACATGCAGATTGACACTGGACACACACACACACACGAGTATAGTACGGATACACTGATGATGATAATGTCCTCTGGCATTCTGCCAACTTCTCCATAAATGTTCCATTATAATATTGTCCTAGCCATGTGTTGGGAGTCATGATTCATTTGCTTGGCGATGCCTTTTTTTGAGAAAGCTGCTACAGCTCAACTTATTTGTTCGTGCTGTAACCTTCAATTGGGAGAAACTGCGAATAACAGTTCATATCAGCAAGAGATATTAGCACCAAGCACACATCTACTGAACAAATGCACAATGGCACAGCACACAAACACACCCACACACACAAACACAAACACACACACACACACACACGCACACACACACACTGCCCGACAGCAGCTTAGCATATTAAAATGCAGCCAGTCTTGAGAAGAAGCCAAATCTATTCAGCATTCACTGATGCGTACTGTATGTGTGGGGAGGTAAAAGTTCTTGAAGCTGAATATTTTCTGTCTGTTTTCCAAGCAGTGGTTGACTCCTCTGACCTTGAGGAAATGTATGCAGATCAATATGTGGGAGGTGTTACATGGTCACCCATGACCTGTGTGGAAGGGCAACATGGACTGCACATATGAGTGAGAGGGTACATGTAAGTATGTGTGTAGGTATGTTCGTCCATGCAATTTCATACCTTGCAGGTCCCGATGCAGCCCACTGGCCTGTCTGGACGCCCATTCAACCCTAGCTTCTTGTTAATGGCGAGGAAACGGTAAGCCTATGAGAAAACACACACACACACACAAGCTATTGAGCAAAGCCACATACCATTGAATATATCTTGAAAATTGTTCCTTGTTCAAGCATGTTTGTGTACTTCTGTAAAACAGCCTAGAAAATAAAAATATCTTGACACGTTGTCATGTTTATCAGATTTAAGTTGGGGCAAGTGTATCCCTGTCCCTGCATATGCCCTAGGATTTCAGAGAAAACTAAAATGTTTATCTATGTTTTTCCTGCGATCACATCACCATTGCTTTGCATTTAAAAACACGATATTTGATACAAAACGTTAACACAGTTCCATTTCTTGTCTTAATGAAAGTGTGAGTTCATCATCCATCTGTCCCACCGAGACATTTGTGTTGTTGCAAGTCATAATCTGAAATTACCTCCATATGGCTGAAACACCTTGCGATATTAGCTCTGTGTAATGTTATGAGACGTGCGATAATGACAGGTCCCCGCGCTGCCATCAGTGACATGGTTATTGGACCGAAGTGCACCCACGGGCACCGGAGCTGATAACAGTGTTGCTGTGAGCTGCAGATGCCCATATGAAGACATGAGTCTTCATTACAATAAATAAACAACAGCATGATGCTTGATGGTTTCCATGTGAGTCAGACACATTTAAACAAATTTATAAACTCAAAGCAGTGGGTCTTCAGTTTCCCACGTAAGTCAACAAAAGCAGGTTTCTCACTTCTAGCTGACAACTATTGACTCTGTCAGCTGAGATGCAGACTGTTGCTAGGAGATTAGTCTGATGGCCAATAAATGTTTACTGCGAGTTGCATGAAAACAATGTCTCCAGCTGGTTTCAGTTTCTAGGAGACTTGTTTTAAATAACTGGATAAATAACTGCAAAATAACTAGATAATAAGTTGCTATGGTAACATGTGCATCTTATGTAAGAAATGCTAACACAGTGAATGAGTGAATGAAAAAAAAAACACCTACATACAATGAGAACAGTGAAATATTAATAACAGTAGCTATCTACTCGTATATATATAAAGTGATATGAGAGATTATATATGGATCATTATAGGTAAAATTATACATATACATATATATATATATATATATATATATATGATTAAACCTATAACGATCCAATTAATCATCATGATAAGCATTACTCAGCTCATTGTAAAATGTCATCTTTGTCTCAGGAGGATGTTTTTCAAGTCTGACCAAATACCCCAAATGTCAGAGCTAGGCTGGATGTAGCCTGGTGATCCCACTTACAATGTTTAAAAGTCAAACATCACACTTGTGTAAATTTGACAATGCTTTTGTAACAAGAAGTCTGTGTTACAAAAGTATTGTAAAATTGGAAGGGTCTTAAGAAGAGACAATTTTTGTTGCATTATGGGAAATGTAAGATCCAGTGTTATGGAGCTTGATCCATACAGCAGAAAAAAATATCTCAGCTCATCTCTGCTGCTTTGATTTCCATCAATACTCTGCTCTATGCAAGTTTAAAAACTTTATTCAAGTTTTGCAGCAGCCCTTTAACAAGATTAAATATCCTTCAGAATAGTCCTTTAGTCCTTTTCTTGCTGTGGATTAAAACTGTCCGGCAGAGGTACAGTAGTTTAATCAAGTTAGAAGTGGTGTCTCCAGACTGCAGCCTGATTACAATCCAGAGGTCAAGTCCGATCTCAAGTATAAAGTTTATGAGCAGAAAATGTTAACATCAACAGAGTAGATGTGTCCGGAGCAAGAAGCTGGAGGAGAGCTTGACATTAAAAACTCAACTCAACAGGGCTTTGGCTGAAGAAGAAGACGGCTAAGGTTAGCCGAGGTCAACGCTCACATTTAATTGGTGGAATGAAATCCTCGCTGTCAGTCAGAAAGAGAATGTTTCGCCAAGTTTCGATTTATCAAACTGACTCAGCTTGAATTTAACACAAGTGCCAATTTACAACATTGTTATGCCTGATGTCTAATGATAGTAATGCTGTTTTGTGTTGTGGAGATAAATAAAAAGGAAAAAGCATAAACAGAAATCCTTGAGTGTTTTGCTGCACTAATAACCCGATTATCAAGTCAAAAAGCTCCTACACTTGTCATACAAAACAGAGGACAAAGTCATGGCTTCTTCCCATTACTGTGTCTGAGATGCATTCAGCGAATGCAGCAAATGGGATGCAGAAGCTCAATTTCCAGAGCAGAGCTCCAGTTAAAAGCTTCTCACCGCTGTGTCGCCTGCAGTCAGACCACGCCAATACAAAGATGCAGAGAGAGATGAGATGGACATTGATTTCTCTGCTCTGTTTACTTCAAGTCCAGTGGTGTGACATGCTCGCCACAAGTTGTCATTTACTACAAGTGCGTTCTGTTTCATTACTTGTCTGGGTGTGAAAGCAGAGCACTTACTCTCCTTCTGACAGCCTATAAATTCAAAATTTTAAACATCCTATCATGAAACGACACCAGCACACCCACACACTCGAGTGGCACTGCAGGAAATCTGCCTATCAAGCCCCTCTGTGCCGCATTCTACCCTCACACTTATTGCAATACCCAATGTCAGCCAAAAGGTGGTGCTCTGCTACTCCGGTGCACTTGCTAACTGTTGTGAAAGGCTTGCAGTGAACACAACAGGAGAAGGCAAGTGTTTGAGAAGAAATTAAACAAAAAGGGAGGGAGAGTACAGTCTTTAGGTTTTAAAGCAGAACAATGTTAACTGAGGATAAAGTGACACTGCAAATCACTGACCAAACAGACAAGCATGAGACCTGGAGGAGAAAAGCAAGGGAGGCTGGAGGAACCTCCGCACTCTGTGCTTCCTGTGTGCAGAATACCAATGAAGAACGACAACGCACAGGCAGCCTATCAAAGCATTCTTTCATTCCCTTACATTTCCACTGACCGCAGCACAAACAGCACGCCTGACAGGTGGGAGGGGCAATAAAAAAGACATATTTATAGGCTGCCTTTTAAACGTCCGCAGTGGCCACAAGGTGTGAGGGGCTACCACCGGCTACTGCTCTCAAAATTCACTACAGAGACAGTCCTCCATTTGATAGGAGCTCATGTGTTCTGTCATTGCTGGGTCGGTACCACAGATTCATTTTCACAGCTGATGTTGTCATCCAGAGGGTTGAGCATCTCGTTGAAAAGCTCAAAATAATACTTTTCATCTCTTTTGAATTTTGGAATCAAACTTTCTGCTTCAGTGACAGTTTTTTGATCTCCTGCATCGCCCCAGTGTTTAAATGATAGAACTGAATTTTTATGATGTATATTTCAAAACAAGCCATCCATGTACATGTTCATGTACAATGAAAGAGTTGGTTGCTATAAGTGTTCGTCTTCTGTAGCAATCCCTTCCTCTAATGTATATTTGAGAATTGGGCTAAAAATCTTGCTCCTGTGTACAAATAAACTGGTCTGTTCCAATTCACCCATTCACGTACACATTCATACAGCGCTTTTTCAATCAGGTACCATTCATACACTATCGGCACGGCTGTCTGGGGCAATTTAGATTTGATTTATTTACACAACCTAAATTCTAAATTCAGAAATAAAATGTTAAAAATATGAGTGGGATGTGGTAGAAAGTAGTAATGCCTTATATGAAATCCAACTATAACTGTTATTCACATCAAGTGAATCTCTTCCAAATGTACAATGTCTTTCAGATATACTTCTCTTGCATTTCCTTGTCCTTGGTTGAGAGCTACACATATATGTGAAAACAAGTGTATGAGACCATTACCTCCAAGGATGTTACATTTTCAGTTTGTAAAAGTACATTTTCAGTTTGTTTCTCTGTAAGCATGATTGTGTGGAAATTACTGTACAGATTTGATTATTCGATTCTTGGAAGCATTTGGTATAGTTCAGGAAAGAACTCAATGAATTTTGGTGCGGATCCAGACCGGGGGATGAATCCAGGAATTCTGAGATTAAACACTTTTAATTTCTCAGAGAATGATTCATGGATCTTGAAGACAAAAACGAGACATTTTTAGGCGACTGATATTTATGAGTGTGTGAAATTTGGTGTCAATCCAAATAAAAATCTGGATCTTATGAATTTAGGGCCTTGGCAGAGTTATGCACTGACTGCCATTCTACTTTCAGCAGGCTCACGTTACCGTATTCAACATTACATGTATTTCCATGAGCTCTTTAACAGAAGTAGTAAAACTGTTAAATGCTATTTTGATCAATATTTATAACTGACAAAAATATTAAAATAAGAGCGAAATTACTGGAATATTTGTTTATAGTCTTTTGAGTCTTTCACTCTTGGAACAGAGTGTCTCTTTAGGGTCTCTTTGGACAGCGCCATGTGCATGTGAGGAAAATGATCTTGACAAACGTAATTTCTTCCACACTGACTCTCTATGGTGAAAAAAAACAAAAAACAGAAACTGCTGAAAGGGAGGCTATTTTTGGACAAAGCTGTGATTTGTAAGGGGATAAGCACTGGAGTATATGGGTGGGAATAACACATTGCAAAATGTAATTGCCACTCTCCCATCGTCAGGCAGCTGTTGTCAACACAATCAAATTGCTGCGAGGGACGAGGTGAGGTGAGCAAATGCAGCTCGCAGCTCTGGAGATGGTGGCGACGCTGAGATAAACAGATTCTGTCGAGGAAGAAGGACCCGGCTTCGGATTTAATATTCAGCACAGGGCTCGCTCTGACTCACGATTGCATATCCATTTTAGAAGCTGCACGCAGCAGAAAGAGGTGCAAGGGGAAGGAGGGAGAAAAGTAACAGGTATGACAGTTCAAAGGGAGATGGTAGACCTGGAGGGGGTGAGTTGTTTGGTGTAATAGACATAATGCGGGCGGGGCAGGATGAAGGCCAAGAGGGGAGAATAGGGTTAGAGAAGCCAATGTCACAGTATACTGTAGTAGCAGAGGGACGGAGGGTAGAAAAAGGGCCCGGAGGAGCGGAGTGAGCCCAGTGAGATGACATGATAACAAAGATTGTTTATAGAACAATGTGTGGAAAACAAATGCCCCATCACAGACGTGACAGCTGTGGAACAGAGGCTAGAGAGGAGGCCAGGGTTTGAGCGATGGATAAGACGGGAGAGAAAGAAGACTGGGAAAAGGACTTCAAACAGTATAGATGCAGATGAGGGACAAAGAACAGTCTCTGTTTGAGTGAAGGATAAAATGGGATTGAAAGAGAAGTTGGAAGCAAGGGATGTAGTGCTCAGTGTCTCAGATATGACAGTACAAATGGTGTCATCTGCTGCAGATGAAAGAAGCTGAGTGGACAGGATGAAAATAGGATGGGAGGGTCTACTTCCAAATATAAAATAAATCGCTTATAACAATCTCCTATTTACACTTTGTAAGGAACACCCACCACCAATGAAATGCAGCAGTTCTTTGCAGGTATGGATTATAAAAAAAAGAATTTCAGCTTCACATTCATACTGCCAAACTCCAGTTCTACCTGGTGTAGAGTAGAAAGTTCTAAAGGTGCTCTACTAGATTGACCTCGGGTGACTATGGAGACCATAGTCTGTTTATAATGATGGACGACATGACTTCTCTCTTGATTGCCAGCTAGTTGCTGCCTGCAGTACAGGTCATAAATGTCACCAGTTTTTTACATTTATGACATTGAGCATTATCATGCAGGGGGTAACCATTAGATAACTGGCCATGAAGGGATGAACATTGTAAACAACACTCAGAGAGGCTGTTGACTGATATCAAGGGAACAAAGTTTGCCAAAGAAAAAAATGACCCCAGCACTACTCCAACCAGTCTGGCCATCCTCCTCGGACCTCTCTCATCAACAAGGTGTTTCCATCTGCAGCTGCATGCAGCTCACTGGATGTTTTCATTTTAGGCTGCACTAGAAACTCAGGTCGACTAGCAATACTTCATACAAAGTCACTGGGATCACGTTTCTCTCTCTTTCTGATTGTTGATGTGTATGTTGACTGGGGCTCCGGACCTGTATTTGCATGATTTCATGCATTTTATAAATCGAATTGTTAACACAGGAATGGCTAATTGGATAAATGAGCAGGTGCACAGTTGTTCCTGTTAAATATGTGGTAAGTTTACTTTCTACTTTTTTATGTATAATGTTTAAAACAAATGCAATTCCATCAAAAAGTTAATTGAATATATTTCTAATTGTATGTATATTGTAATTGTATGTGTATTAAGAATTTATAATTGAAGAGCAGAATGTCTAGTGGATTCTGGATAGATTTTGGACAGTGAATTTAAATGATCTGTTTCAATTGTGCTCCTACAAAACTTTAATATCAGACTTGTAAGAGCAGCATGACTGCTGAAAACATTAAGAACAGAGTTTATATCATATTACTTCAATAGAATATCATGTACACTTTTAAGAGCCATGAAAACAGAGGTTTTAATCAAAAAGCTGAGCAGGTGAAAAGACAAGGGACAAAATTCATTTGTAAAAGCTCATTTCTTTTTTTTTTTTATACGTGGACAGACCCCTAAGGATGGTGCTTAAAAAAAGGATGGTGCTTAAAAAAAAAAAGAGCTGTTTCTCATTTTAAAGTTACAGCTCTGATATATTTGCCTCCAGCTCCTAAGCTGATCTGCTCACTGTGACCTTTAGGTGCTTAACTGCAGGAGTGAAACAGTTGTTAAGGTAATGATGGAAGTGACTTCCAATTATATATGTTTAATCTCTTATGCAATCATCTAACTTACCCTTCTGAGAACAATTTTAAAAGCCACTCCGCTTCATGCATCTCCAATTTGCCAGAGTGAAACAGTGGTTGCTCCGCCATCATGCTGATCAATCAACATGAACAATCACTGTTCAAATAATCAATCACCTCAACCAGCAGACTCGCTCTGATTGATGGGACAATCAAGAAGAAAATCTTAAGAGCAAAAAATCTTGGACTGACAAGAAGATGGACTGAATGAGCCAAGTCCTGCCGGGATATGGATAGTTTAGATGTAATCTAGCTGACTGTAGGATTGATTTGTGTAGTTGTAGAGGAGGAGGTGGTAGTGGGGCACCATCAATTGTCTGTCAGAGTTTCCTTCCCCAAAATTTCCTTCATGTCGATCCTGTTTATTGTCAATCTCCTCCATTTAAATCTACGATGTGAAGCCAAGCAGCAAGACTCTGCAGCTAATTGTGCAGTATAAAATGTATGGAATCAGTGAGGTTTCAATTGACCGTTGTCAAAACCCCTCCCTTGTACTACATCTGCTTAATCATAGCTTAACAACTGTTACTATCCTTCTGGTCATGGGGCTGAGGTAAGAGGAGAATTCCAGATATAAAGAGTTTGGAGGATAGAGTCGTTTTAAAACAAAGAAGGCAAGAGCAAAAGTTGTGGAATTGATGAAACTGAGACACTGTTAAGACGTTAACATCTGGCCTGAGTGATGTGATCATAAGAGATCAGTTCTAAGTACAGGTCTGAGTGCACCCCCATGCATCCTCAATGCATCTTAAGATCTGATCCCTCAAACCACGGTGAGAGGGGGTCTGGGCCACATGTGGCTACATTCTTTAAGCTGCATGAAAGCAAACGCGTCCTGGGTCACATGTGAAGGACCGTCTCCTCTGCTGACATCCTCTGACCCGCTACAGCTTCACTATGAACTCTTACTCTTGTCAGTGTCCATATGTCCATTTATCCATACGATGACTGACAATTTACTTTCTTCACAGCCGCTGCACGAGATTCATTCAGCCCCTTCTGACCTCACTCTCTGTCTCTCTTCTTCTAAAAGGCGATTGATCGTTTTCACATTGGCTGCAGACATGTTGTTTTTCTTTTCACACTGACATTGAGCTGTGAGCTGTTGTGCAAGCTGTTAAAATTAAATTGTCACATCTCATCTGTGGGTTGGAGCTTCTACATTGTCTGAGCCAATATGTGAACTGCTTCGTTAGGCCTACATGGCGGTTAGCAGCTAGTTAGCATGGCCAGCATCTGTAGTATAGCCTTGGTTTGCTGTGTGTAGTCCAAAGAACCAGTGGTCACCAGCCTTTACAAGCCCAAGATCAGTTTTTGATTCCAAGCGTAAGCCGAGATCTATCACCCAAATATACTTCCAAAAAAACACTTAGGAGGGTTATATTTCTTTTTTTTGCAATTTCTGTTAAGGGCTCAATATATGGGCATAAAAATATACAAAGAACTGCAATTATCCAACTGTATCTATTCAATACACAATATTCACATTAATATAAATTCATATAAACAGCATCTGTTCAATGCACAATACTGAGCTTCTCAGTTCTACAATATGTTCTGAAAACGTCTGCTCCTGCTGCACAATGTTTTTACGAAGGCTTTGGCGACCACTGGCATAGACTGTATAAAAATGAGCTGCAGCGTTTCAGTTTAACACTGTGGTGAGGCAGGTGACAGGTGTGTTTCTTAGCGTGAAAAACGTGCAAAAATGAATGTGTCTGGAGATCGTAAATACCAGTGACTACTGCAAAGTCATTTGACCCAGGAATAAATGGCAATTATATCCTTTCATACTGCAGAAAAAGATGGATATGTGTGTTTAAGTGGTTTTGTCCAATGTTAAATTGGTAACAGTGTACTATAACAGGGGGGCAAACTAACTTCAATACAAAAACATTGTTGCTCCTTTACTTCCATTTTACAACTAAAACTAGTGACAACTAAGTTTGCAGCTGGTTTCCCATTTTGATAGACGCTAGGGGCAAATTGAGTTGCAAATGGTTAATGCTAGATACTGTAGCAAAATCGTTGCTGAACACACTCTCACTTGAAGAAGAACACTCCAACTGACAGACTGTGTTTGTGCAGGATTTTTGTTCTCAATATGAGTTTGTGATCCTTAACAACCGTCATCTACACTTGCCCAATAAAAATTAAAGATTTAATGAGTTTTACTTGTTCCTGAAGTCAAGGACCCAAAATGATCATGAGCCGTATCACTGTAAACTGTATATGTGCCATTCAATAACATAATGCTCGGTCTAGCAACAGTAACAGGGTGTAAATGTGTTACCTTGACCAGTTCTTTCTGAGGCCAGATCTGGATCGGCTCCACCTGCTGGGGCGTCTGAGTCTGAATGCCATAGGTGTTCAGAAACACCTGCAATCTGTACAGACAGAAAACAAATACTATATCAAACTGACAATTTGAAAATCCAGCTATAGCTGGATAATAACCCTCACACTAAAATTACACTCAACAAATATTTCTGAAATAATATTACTCAAATCACTTGAACTAATCAATATTCTACAGCAGCTAAAAATGCAGCTTAATTATTTATAGGTAAAGCTATACTTGTGCCCTTAGTTTAGACATCTGCCTTGTGTTCTTGTAAATACATATCTCATGTAAATCAGATATCTTTTATGAATAGAGATATATACACAATATTATGAATATCATATAGCTGGTCCACAGATTATTATGCAGCGTTAGAACACAGCTGTGAGAAAGAGGCTGTAGGAGTCTTAATGGGGTTTTAGCAGCAGCAGTAAATAAAGCTAGAGGCTAACAGGCCTCACATTCTTTTGCCCCTGTTTAACACTCATACACCCACTCTCTTGCACATGTATCCAAGCATGCCTACACACGCACAATGGGAAAAGTGACAGATGATGGTAGAGGTCAAGCTGAGCTCCAGCTTTATGAGTTCTCCACAATAACAACACAGAGAGAGCTGAAGGGGAGATAAGTGAAAAATAGCTTTGCTTCATGGTCTGCATGAACACATACACATATTATCTATATTCATGTACACACAAACATATTACCTCTGGCTCTCAGCAATAAGGGCCACGTGAATCACAACATCATTCTCTATGGGGCCCTGTGAAAAAAGACAGAAGAGAATTCAACATGTGAACCACCTACATGAATATGTCATTGAATTACATTCATTTTACTTTTAAATGAAGGTACAATGAACACGGATCATTTCTGTATTGGGTTTACATGTTCGCCTCATGTCTGCGTGGGATTCCTCACTGCATGCTGGTTTCCTCCTATAGCTGGAATGTATCTAACTTGACTATATGTGTACATGTGAGCGTGAATGATCTCTAAGTGCCCTTGTGACCTGTCCAGGGTTCACCCTGCCTCTTGCCCAATGTCATGGAGCTGTGATTGGCTCCACACATTCTGAATAACCAACAAAAGTTCATGAGTGATGTGCGAGCTGTGGGTTGGGATGGAAGGATGTGATAAGTGAGAAATTGAGAGAAACATGAGGCTGTTAGACTGATGTTTTGTCCACTTTGTGAGATGAACTGAAATTACATCAAAAGTAGAATAATCATATCGCCAAAAAGAGGAAGGAGAACCACCAATTTCTAGGGTAATCCTTTGCATAACTCAGACACCAGAACATGAGTTCCAATCCAATTTCACAATCATTTTGAGCCTATTATTCAGGAGAAATGCATTTACTTCTTGCAGCTTTTCTAAAGGGAAGATGTGATTTTTTTAATATATCATCCTGATTTTTAATACTCGTGGGAAGTGACCATAG